AGGTTTATATGATTATGGGTTTATATGATTATGACTAATTTGCTTGTTACTAGTTTTCAGTTTTCTTTTCCATATTCTATCATTAAGGAAGAATATGGCACTCCTAAGAACAATAGAATCTTTATGAACTAATAATGAACAGAAGAATATGGCACTCCTAAGAATGATAGAATCTTTACGAACTAATAATGAACAGAAGAATATGGCACTCCTAAGAATGATAGATTCTTTACAAACTAATAATGAACAACAAATTGACAGGATTAAAATTATTGAAAATCAGCCGGGCGATTGTTGTGCACGCCTTTAATCCCAGCACTCTGGAGGCAGAGGCCGGCGGATCTCTGTGAGTTTGAGACCAGCCTGGTCTACAGAGCTAGTTCCAGGATGGGCTCCAAAGCCACAGAGAAACCCTGTCTTGAAAAAAAAAATTATTGAAAATCAGAGGTTATCTGAACAAGTGGATACTATGACAGACAAAATTGACTCCATATCCAAGGGTACTAGAAAGTTACCTGAAAGGATGCAGGCTGTTGAATTTGACGTTCAGACGTCATCACAAAGTTTTGATAAGGTAACAGACAGAATGTACCTCCAAGATGGGAATCTACATGATATACAAGAAAAGTTTAAGGAGGACATGTTATCTTTGAAGGAAAAAATTAAAGCTTTGGAATCACGGGTGCAGAATCGGGACCAAAAAATTGATACCTCAGTGAAATCACTAGAAACATATACAGGTCAGGAGATTCAGGATTTAAGAGAGACAATGATAAAAAGATTTGAAAAGATTGAAGAAATTATTGGAGCTGGTGAACAGAGTAAGGAGGCACAAGGACAGGATACAATGCCTCCACCAGCTATTAGAACTGGCTTACCCAGGGTTTTAGCGACATACCGTATACTTAATTCTGACAAAGCATCAACTTCTAAAGGCTCAAAAGGAGTCAAAGAAGCTACATGGACGCCTATAGCAATGACTGATGTGAAAGAAATTAAGTAAGCTATTGTTAATTTTGACTTGCACTCTGCATACGTAAAGGAAATGATAAGGACTTGGGCGTCTAATGCTAGAGCTACCCCCCATGATTTCCATCAGTTAGTGTCTGCAGTTTTAGATAATGGACATCCTTGATGCTTGGAATTTATTTCAGAGAAGAATCCAAACATATGGAACAGCAAAGAAGAGCAAAAGGTGTGGAGGTTTCCCAAGATCAAATTCTTGGTGCAGGAGAATATGCTGATCCACAGGTCCAAGCTTTTTATGACGAAGAAGTACTGTGTCTATGTCACCAAGCAGCTTTAAATGCTTGGAATAGGATACAAGATCCAGCAAAAAGGGTTGAATCATATACCAGGATTAGGCAGGGACAGAGAGAACCCTTTATTGACTTTTTGCAAAGATTAATTAAGGCTCTGGATATAGGGGTAACAGACCCAGACGCTAGATGAATACTTCTTGAATCTCTAGCTTTTGAGAATGCAAAAAGATAATTGGGTCTTTAAAGTCTAGATCAGCACATGGATTCAGCATACGATGAGCGTTGAGACATTTAGTTATAATGATGAATCTTGGGTAGGAGATTTCCAAAGCAATGAGGAGACATCAAACTGCCAGGTGTCTTAATTGTGGTAAATTAGAACATTTGCAAAGGGATTGCTGGCAAAGAATTTCTAGGAGTAATATCTCTTCTGGGAATGACAAAAATAGGAGACCTCGGCTTTTAGGTATATGTAGGAGATGCAGTAAAGGCCGGCATTGGTCCAACGAATGCAGGTCAACAACAGACAGACAGGGCAAACTGATATCATCGGGAAACTCCTTGAGGGGCCCCTCGCAGGCCCCCAAGCCAACAGTGGCCCAGTCATTCCCAGTCACAGTGGAGAACGTGCCTCACCAAGAAAATTAAAAGCTCCAATTTCTGCTGTAAAAAGTAATACTTGTCTAAATGATGAATTACGCATGGAGGATAAGTAAAAATAAAAAAACCCAGTAGGACAGAGTAAACGTATATTTTGGCAGACTTCTATTAATGATCAAAGACCAAAGCTAAGAGTCTGTATAAATGGCACTTTTATTGAAGGCTTATTAGACACAGGTGCGGATGTAAGTATCATTACCCCAGAATCTTGGCATCTGAATTGGCCTCTTCAAGAGGTAGATGTTCAGTTCCTGGGAATTGGAACCCTATCTTGTGTAAAACAAAGCACAAGATGGGTTGAATGCATAGGGCTCGAAGGGCAATAGGAAGACTAAGGCCATATATAGCCAATATTGCCATAAATTTATGGGGCCGTGACCTGCTACAGCAATGGAATACCCAGATTAAAATTCCTGTAGTTCCAGGAACTCATAATTCTGGGAAGGATATGATGAGGTATTATGGAAAAAGGTCACCAGCCATTCAGGCTGTACAAGAGCACACAGCAATTACCAAACCTTTTTTTTTTTCTTGACTGTCTTAACTGCAAACAAGACCTGTAAGATATATTTTTATATTTTGTTCTCCCATAACTTTGTTGCAAGGTTCATATTTTGGTTTCTCAACTAGGTAGACTCAAGAAAAGATTTAATTCTAGCACTCAGGAGGCCGAGAAAGGTAGGTATTTTTGAGTTTGAGACCACCCTGAAACAAGAGGTAGTTTCAGGGCAGGCTGCAATGCTACACAGAGAAATCCTGTATTTAAAAACACAATCAAAACGGAGTGAGAGAGAAAAAAGAAAAGAAAAAAAATAGTATGCACAATACTCTCCCAATGAGAAGTTATTATTATTATTTTTTTTAATTAAGTGATTTATGTCAGTGTTAGGTATATTTCCTACGATTTGGTTATTGTAAACAAGTGCTATCATTGAGATATGTGTTCAAACTAAAAGAGTAATTTAGAAGATTTTTTTTAATATAAAACTTTTTTTTTTGAGACAGGATCTCCCTTTATAGAGTAGATGGCCAGAAAGGATCTCTTCATAGGGAGTATATTGTTGTCAAACATTGAGATCCGTCTGTCTTTGAAACATGTGTTCTGGGGTTAAAGGGATTCATCAGTAAGCATGTCTTCATAAAAGTAAGCATACAAAGTTAAGAACAAATAATGGACAACATTCCTTTTACTTTTTTGCTGAGGTCTATTCCTGACTGTGTTGGTAGGCCAGGCTTGCCTGGAACTCACAGTTATCTTTCTTCCTTTGCTTTCCAAGTCCTGGAATTAAAGTGTGTGCTACTATTCCCAGTTGGTGGCTATATTTATCATTCCAGAATTCTTCAGAGAAAGGAGTGTAAGAAATAAGTCAGCAGAGGAAAAGAAAAAATGAACCCAATTTGGTGTTACCATACCCATAGCTGATTTTTTTTGGTCTGAGAGGTTTGTGATTCTAAACCATGCAGCTGGTGTTTGAGGGTAAAGTAGTAAATACTGTGCATAGTTGAGAATCAGTTTTTTGTAGTGGAGAATAGGAGGTCCAGAAATTGTTTTTCTGATTAAATTGTATTCTTGAAACCATGAGGCCTGGGGGAAATTGTTTTGAAACCTGGCTGCAGGGTAGGAAATAAGTCAGATTGGGCCTGGAGAGATGGTTTAGAAGTTAGAAGCTTAATTCCTGGTCTGAGGATACATTCAGACAGAACATGGTATACTAATGAATAAATAAATTTTCAAAAAAAGAAGTGAGATCAACTGTTTTTGCAAACTTAGGGCTGCAGGGCACCCAAAGAACTTTTCTTGCTTTCCAGAATTTCATGGTTGAAGGTTTCTGGAAGCTTTGGGTGTGTTTTCTAGGTATGTTTCTGAGGTATAGAATTTAATTGAAGGAGGAGTAGGAAGTTTCTGCTAGTCACTCCTGCCTACAACATAAGTTTGAGGTCATTCTGGATTTACAAACAAAAGTTGCTTTTTCAAAAATTAGAAAACAAAGAAAAACAATAATAAATAACAACAAAGCAAACAAACAATGAAACAACGAAAACAAGCTAAGCCTCCATGCCTCCACCTCTCCCCTAAAGCAAAGCAAAAAACATACCAAAAAAAAAAAAAACAAACCAAAAACAAAACAAAAAAAAAAGCTCTGGGTGTGCAGACTTTTAATCCTGGCTACAGGGGTTTGGAGCTAAGGTCCCTGTGGAGTTCTAGGTCCAGTTAGGATCCAGTAGTATAAGTAGTATAATTCAAAATTCCAAACAAGAACAAAACTCAAACTTGCTTTATTATATTTATTATTTTATTGTGTGCATCATATTTATAACTTATAGTCACAAAGAAGAGGACAGAAGAAAATGATTATTACATCTTTGAAGTGTAATAAGGGTTTTCTCATAAGGCATAATCTCAGGGATTTTTCATTCACTGTGGCCTTTTTTTCTACTGCTAAAGTTACACTATCTTTATTAAGTCTTTGTTTTTATGTGGTTGGGTGGATGGATGATAAATGAATACAATTACAGTCACAGTAGTGACAGAACACGACACAGTTATTCAGGAAAGCTTAATTTTCGCTGCATGGATTCTCTGTTTTTTCAAATTGTGCATCGTTTACCTCAAGTTTGTTTTTAATGTTTGCTGGAACTAGTATAAGAAAGCAGGACTACTTCACGTGTGATGTTCCTGCTCTCCCCCCCCCCCCCCAAAAAAAAAAAATAAGGCTGGTTGCTGCTTGGTATTTACGTGCTCTGGGGAAAATACTTGATATAGTTTTTTTTTTTTTTATTGCTCTTTATTCCTCATGAGACCAAAATAGCAGTCAAATGAAAGAGCACCAATACTTAATTGGGATAAACGAATTACCTAGCATACCTAAAAGAAGTTTCACTCTAGTTGGTGGTGCTTTTTGGCAGGGTTTGCTGTTTAGCAAGCTAGTGAGCCTTTAGCAATACAGGTCGTGACGTAAGTCAACAAAAGTCACGTGAGATAAAACGGTTGCTTCCATTGGTAAACCTGGCTAGCTTTGCGGCGAGCTTACAGTAGTTGTTTTTGGCTCACACTGACCCTATTACAACAACTTTATGCAGATACTAGGTAAACTTGGTAGTCTAAGAATTTCGGGTAGGTTCTACAACAGTGTCTGCTTCCGGCTTCATGTGATCAACACCTGCTGGGCTATGTGAACTAAGGGTATCAGGAGCTTTCCCCTTTGCCTGGGAGTTTGTAGTGGCCTCAGCTGCGGCGATAAAGTTGGCGTGGTAGTTTCAAGCTTCGATTGAAGCAGTCATTTCAAGCTTTGGACTGGTGGTGAATGAGCGTGAACGTGGAACTTGAACACTTTTTGCTTTTCCATGAAATCATACGGATTGTCCCTTGCTACTGCTGCTGTCTTGCGTGATGAGAAAAAGAAAATGGCGGCGGATACGGCGAGTAGCGAGGGCGACGAGGGGTCCTTTGATCTCACAGTCGAAGAGAAGGAGGCGCTTTGTGGGTTGGATAGGTAAGCATTACTGATACAGGTTATTTTTTTTTTCTGGGGTCAGAACACTCTGCAAGAAGGTCCAACTGCATCTTGTTTGCGGTGGCGACTTCGCTATCGCTTTTACCCGTGTTTTGGGATGTTAGTTACTCATGTTTTTCTGAGCATTAACAAGAAGAATGTATTTTTTCTACAGCAGCTTTTTCGGGTTCTTAAGCCGACGCGAAGATGGCGCTAGGACGAAGACGCTATTGAACAAGGTACAGCAACTACGATTGGACTTAATTGCTTACATCTTTTGCCTAAGGTTTGAGGATCCCAGGCCTGAGCCTTTCCGTACACAGTAGCCTTTAGGGCAGTTTGAACCCGGTGTTTTTTCTTTTTCTTCCCGTTTCTCGTTTCTTTCTCGGAGTTACGTATCTTTCTGATAGTTTGAGGTCCTGCCTCAACATACAGTTCAGAGCATTTGCTTATTTTAGTGCTTTTTGGTGGGTGAGGTCAACGGTATTTCCAGTTTCTCATCTCAAGTTATGAAAGTCAGTAGATTGCGAAACTACGTCTTCGATATCGCAGCCGATTGTAATATGCACACGTCTTATCCTTTAAAATATTTCCTTTTCACATAAAGAGCAAGTTACAGGAAACCGAGATAAAGAGTTTCGGTAGACTTTTTTTTTTTTTAATGTAGTAGCCATAGAAATAATACTATAAATACTATTTTGCAAGTAATCTTTTTCCTTCCTTGGAGTTTGTTTCCCGAGTGTGAAATACCGGAAGGCATTTCATGTTTGAAAGTTGGCACTGCTATTTAGTTAATGGTTGCTGGTAGCCGTCAAGATGGTGGGAAATAGTGGGAGGAGAAATGAAACCGAGTTTTAGAGAGGAAACAGGTTAGTGTCAGCAAGAAAGCAGGTATGTCATCGATTTTATACATGGTTAATTGTGATAAGTACATTCAAGAATCTCTTTTTGAGGTTAGTAAGGACTTGATAATTCTACTCTTAAGTAACAGGGAATCGTTTTGATTAAGCCGTTTTAACCAGGTTCAATTTCTTGCTAGGATTGCCCTGCTTCCTTTTAGACTTTATGGTAAAAACTTTAAAAAAAAGTGTTTTCATCTAGTGTATATGCTATTTAACTATACCTTTAAAAATTTGAACTTTCAGAATTTTCATAAATTGAAAAAAAATTATGGTATTGACTGTAATTTTGAGTGACTACTGTTATTAGAGGCAGGGATTTGCCTGGTTGTCATAGAACACACAGACAAGAATACACCTGCCTCTGCATTCTCATTGCTGACATTGAAGACATGTATCATGAAAACTTATTCTTTTCTCCCCCTTTTTCTATTTATTAATTTTTTATATGATTATATATAGAGTCATAAGATAACTTCTGGGGATCAATTTTCTTTTTCCACCACACAAGGCTTGACAGCAAGTTCTTTTACCAGCTAAGCTACATCCTTTGTCTTTGAGTTTATAGTGTATGTCTACTCTTCTTGACCAGAAGAGAAAGATTATGTGGAACTGGAGTTAAGTAAAGGTTGTGAACTGTGTGGACTCTTGGAATCAAACAAGTGTCCTTTGTAAGAGCCCCTTAGTTCATTTAAATTAAATATGAAATTTTCAGGTCCTTTGTAATATAAATTTCAGTGTTATTGAACTGTTTTCAGATATTGAGATCTTTAGTATTTTTCTGAATTGTAATTGTAATGGCATTTATTTAAAAATGAGAAGCTAAAAAATTATGAGAATGAGAAAGTACCAAGACTTTGAGAACAGCTGTGAGCTACGACTTTATTAAACACTAGATAATATGTATTGTTATACTCATCATATATAACATATATCATATATAACAATATATACAACACACATTGTTATAATATGTTGTGGATTTTTTTTTTTTTTTTTTTTTGGTTTTTCGAGACAGGGTTTCTCTGTAGCTTTGGAGCCTGTCCTGGAACTAGCTCTTGTAGACCAGGCTGGCCTCGAACTCCCAGAGATCCGCCTGCCTTTGCCTCCCGAGTGCTGGGATTAAAGGCGTGTGCCATCACCGCCCGGCTATGTTGTGGATTTTTATTTTAGACCTTCAACCTTCCTAATGCTGTAAGCCTTTAGTACAATTCTTCATATTGTGATGACCCCATCCATAAAATTATTTGTTGCTACTTCATAACTGTAATTTTGCTACTGTTATGAATCTAAGTGACTTAAAGGTTGAGAACCACTATTTTAGACAGTGTCATACTCTTTATTTTGTTGCCCAGGGTAGTTTCAAACTTACATTAGTACTCTTTCCCTCAACCCCCAACTACTGAGATTGCAGGTGAGAGCCACTCTTCAATAGTTATTGAAATGTACTACAATATAAAAATGCCCTATTAAAAATATAATTAAAATATTATATTTTTTAAAAATTATTAAATTTTATTAAAAATATTAAAAATATAAGGACAGATGACAATTTTTAAAGTCTGTGTTCAAGTAATTTTTATCATGTTGTATGGTTACACTTTTCTGTAATGGCACCATTCAGAAGAGACTAAAGAATTTCTTGAGTTATACTTGGTGGCAAGTGTCTTTACTCCTTGAGCCATCTAAGAGGCCCTAAATCATTATTTTTATTGCCTGCCTGTCTGTCTTGTCTGTCTATCTATCGATCTATCTATCTGTCTGTCTATCTATCTATCTATCTATCTATCTATCTATGATTTTTTTTTTGGGGGGGGGTTTCGAGACAGGGTTTCTTTGTAGCTTTGGTTCCTGTCCTGGAACTAGCTCTTGTAGACCAGGCTGGCCTCGAACTCACAGAGATCCGCCTGCCTCTGCCTCCCAAGTGCTGGGATTAAAGGCGTGTGCCACCAATGCCCGGCTATCTATGATTTTTTTGAGACAGAGTTTCTCTGTGTAACCCAGCTGTTATGGATCTCACTCTGTAGATGAGGCTATCCTGAAACAGTTTGTTATCGTTATTATTATTTTGAGGTAGTCTCAATTTTAGTAAGTTTTGACTGGCCTAGAAAAGAGAGAGATTCTTCTGTCTCTGGATTGCTGGGAAGAAAGGAATGTGTTGCCACTGCCAGTTTAAATTTTGTTTCTCTTACTGTTTTTGTTGTGTAGGTGTTTTTTTTTATGTTTTTATTTATTTATTTATTTATTTATTTTTGGTTTTTCGAGACAGGGTTTCTCTGTGGCTTTGGAGCCTGTTCTGGAACTAGCTCTTGTAGACCAGGCTGGTCTCGAACTCCCAGAGATCCGCCTGCCTCTGCCTCCTGAGTGCTGGGATTAAAGGCATGCGCCACCACCGCGCAGCTGTTGTGTGGGTGTTTTACCTGCATGCATAGCTATATATCATGTGTATTTCTAGTGTCCATGGAGGGCATCAGATTCCATGGAACTATAATGACAGCTTCCAGGTGTTTTCTGTATTTTTAACTGCTGAGCCAACTTTTCATCTTAGTTTTATTTTTAAAACAATGTTACTATGACTTTTAGACTGGTTTAGAAAATATGTAGTCCAGGCTAACCTCCAGGTGAAATGATTCTTCTGCCTGTATAATGAGACTTTTCTACATTAGCTTCTATTTTATTGTTATGTTTTGTCTTCGAGACAGAGTTTTTCTGTGTAGCCCTGGCTGTCCGGGAACTCAGTCTACTGTAGACCAGGCTGGCTTTAAACTCAGAGATCCATCTGCCTCTGCCTCTGCAGTGCTGGGATTAAAGGTTACCACCAGGCTTACCTGTGTTTTAATAAAAGGGTATGCTTATGTTTGTACATGTTTCTTATATTGCGTCCTGAGGTCAGAGGACACACCTGGACCTATTTTCATTTTTAGTAGCTGTTGTTTTTTCAAGGAAATATGATTTAAAACAAAGGATGTTTATATTTACAAGGACAGTGCTTCTTTTTAGTATTCCTAATTCTTTTGTTTCTATGTATATTTAAATTTTTTATTTTTCATTTTTTAATGTTTGCTTGAAGTTCTTTTAACATTTTTTTAAAATGTGTATCTGCTTCTAATGTATTAATTTGTCAACACCTGGTGATCTTTAACCTCTTAAGAATATTTTGTGTTCATGTATGTTGTGTGCATGTATGTGTAGACCTCGATAGACATCTTATAGCATCAATTCTTTCCATATGTGGAGTCTAGTAATTGAACTCACCTCATCAGTTTGACCTGCTTGGATGAAAGTGTTTACCCGCTGAGCTATTTTTCAGGCTCTAACCACTTTTTAAAAAAAAAAATTTGAATATTAGCTGCTAGTAAGTTTTTACAACTAACCCTGCTCAGTTAAGCTGTTCTTCAGTATTTTCACCCTTTAAGATCTTTCTAAGGTAACCTCAATTTTTTTTTTTTTTTTTGTATTTTGAGACAGGGTTTCTCTGTAGCTTTGGAGCCTGTCCTGGAACTAGCTCTTGTAGACCAGGCTGGCCTCAAGATCCCCCTGCCTCTGCCTCCCAAGTGCTGGAATTAAAGGTGTGTGCCACTACCGCTCGGAAATAACCTCAATTTTTAAAAGATTTTTTTTTTTTATTGGCATTACAGTTGGTCTCAATTTTCCTATTTTTGTATAGCTTTAAAGACGTTTCTGTTTATATATGAGTAGGGTTTCCATTTCCTACTTAGTCTGAATTTTTTTTTTTTTTTTTTTTTTTGTTTTGGTTTTTCGAGACAGGGTTTCTCTGTGGTTTTGGAGCCTGTCCTGGAACTAGCTCTTGTAGACCAGGCTGGTCTCGAGTGCTGGGATTAAAGGCCTGCGCCACCACCACCAGGCTAGTCTGAATATTTAATTAAAGATTTTTTCTTAAAAACATTTTTTAATGCTGTGTGTTTCACAGTGCATGTGTGAAGCTCACCACAAAGGACGTGTTGGAGTAGTCTGTTTTCTCCTTCCATAAAGTGGATTTTGAGGTTAAAACTCAGATCAAGTTTGCTTTTGTATCCTGGACCCTTACATTGTATTTAGGATGGCTTTGCACTATTTAAAAAAAAAATTGTATTTATGTGTATATGTGTGCACATGTGTGTATGAGTATATGCCAATGTCTGTATAGGTAACCCCAGAAGGTCAAAGCTGCTGTTATAGGCTTCTCAGCATGTTTGTTCGGAAGGAAGTGATTTCTTTTTTCACCAGTGCTTTATTTAACAATTCAGTTTTTTTTTTTTAAATCTCTGAAAGACTTTTAAAAGGTTTTTGACAGTAATGAAGAAATATCATCAATGGAATAAGTATTTTAAGTCCCCTTTCAGAGATAGGAAGGGACAAATATTTCTTCATATACTTTTTGATTTAAGGAATCATGGGCCTAGGGAATATATCTCAGTATTTATCTAAAGTTAAAAAATCAAGGGCTGGATTTCTAGCATCATATCTGCTGATACAGTAGTGCATTGCTTTAATTCTACCAGTCTAGAGGAGAAGGCAGAAGGATCAGGTATTTATAGTCATCCTCAGCTATATAGTAAATTTTAGGACAGTTTTGGCAACATGAGATCTTGTCTCAGGAGAAAAAGAAAAACGAAATCATGGTTTTGTACTTGATACATTTTTTATGGTCTTGTTAAAGATACAACGTATAAAGTAATTTAGAAAGATTGAAAAAAGAAACATGGATGATTTTTAAATTCCAAGAACTAGCTGGATGCTTTACCTTCTGTTTAAAAAAAAAAAAAAAAGTAGGAGAGATCCCAGCATCTATAGTTTCAAACCCTTACTAGATTAAAGAAAACTCACTGCAAGGACAGAAAATGGGATATGTGTTTCTTTTTTCTTTTTCTGAAATAGTTAAGAGAACTGCTTGGTGTAACCTAGTCTAGTATGCTATTGTGTGATGTTTCTGTGTATGTGTGTTGGAAAACTCAACATCTTACTATCTTGTTAAATAATAAGTTTTACACACTACTGGTCTTTCTTGAAATGGCCACTTGGCACAATGAGGTAGGTCCTAAAATTTTTTTTTTTTTTTTTTTTTTTTTGGTTTTTCGAGACAGGGTTTCTCTGTGGTTTTGGTTCCTGTCCTGGAACTAGCTCTGTAGACCAGGCTGGTCTCGAACTCACAGAGATCTGCCTGCCTCTGCCTCCCGAGTGCTGGGATTAAAGGCGTGCGCCACCATCGCCCGGCTTGTCCTAAAATATTTGTATAACATAAAAGTTACTTTAGTCTCAGGCTCTAAGTATTCAGGGTCTGATTGCTAATAAATGAGATGTCTGCTTTTACTTTTGTTCCCCTCCCTTTTTGTTTTTCTTGTCTGTGTATTTGTATATATTGGGTAGATAGTGTTGGATTGTATTTGAAATATGTGAAGAGGAGTAGGTATTGAACAATTGAATTTGTGGTACTCTAAAAACAGTTTCTGACAAAAAAATTATCAGATTTTTTTTAACTGTTCAGCAGCTGAATATTGAATGTCATAAAAGTGCTGGGCAGTGTTGATATACACCTTTATTCCCAGCCAGTGACGTCTTAGAATTCAAGTCCAGCCTGGTCTACAGAGTTTCAGGACAACCAGGGGTTTGCAAAGAAACTCTCTCAAAAAACAAAAACAAACAAACAGACAAAATAAAAAAAAAAGTCATGAGTCATTTTCTTTTAATAGCAAGTTTTCTAAAAACAGTAAAAACCAAACCAAGTCAGGTAAAGGTAGGGTAGTTAGTGGTTGTGTTAGTTACTTGTCTATTGCTGTAATAAGATACCAAGATCAAGGTGATTTACAAAGGAAAGCATTTAGCTAGAAGGTGATGGTGCCATTAATCCCAGCACCCAGGTGGAAGGCACAGATGAATCTCTGTGAGTTCCAGGACAGCCAGGGTTACACAGAGAATGCCTGTCTGAAAAAAAGCTAAAGAGAACAAAAATGAAAGCATTTGTCGGGCCTTTGTGTTTAGAGGAGTAGCAGAGGTATCTTGATCTGCAAACAGGAGGCAGAGAGAGGCAGAGAGAGAAATGATTCCTTTGAAACTTCAAAGCCTGCTTGGAATGGTTAAGCTCTTCTAAGGTCACACCTTTAAAGAGAGTTCCACAAACTGAGGATTGAGCATTCAAACACAGAACCCTAAAGGATCATTCTCATTCAAACTACTTTAGCAGTCCTCTCTCCCTCCTTTCCTTCTTCTTTTCCTCCCTTCCATCCTCTCTCCCTTCCTGCCTTCTTTTCTTTCCTTTTTTTTTTATTGTATGGTTTAAGCAGGCTCATAATGACTGAGGTGTTTTGTTTTGTTTTTATTTTTCAAGATAGGGTTTCTTTGTGTAATAGTCCTCTCTGGCCTCAGCTGGCCTCAAACTCACAGTGCTCTCTACTCAGTCCCTCTTAATTGTGCTGGATGTGGCACCATTGCCTAGCTCACATGTTTAAAAAATTAATATGATTATATGGATTCTGAGCCTAATAAATTTCTTTCTGAGCCTTTTTAAATTTCTTTGCTGTGTGACCAGGATCAAAGTAATAGTTTAGCTTTTTGACTTTTGTGTAACTTTCATAATGCATTCCTTCGTATTTTATTGAAAGTTTTTTTTTTTTGCATTTTTTTAAATTGATGTTTATTGAGCTCTACATTTTTCTCTGCTTCCCTCTCTGCCTTCCTGCTCCCCCTTGTTACTTACCTTCTCTGTAGTCATGGACTATAGGGTCGTTATCCTTAACTACTAAGCCATCCTTTTATTCCTTATCTGTTTAATTTTAATATATAATATTCAGGTCATTGTTGCTAACTATCATAGAGTAGTCTTTTTTTGTTTCTTTTTATTTGTTTTTGAGATAGGACCTCACTGTGTATCCCTGGCTATCTTGAAACTTACTATATAGGTTAGGCTGGCCTTAAACTCACAGCAATAAACCTGACTGCTTCCTCAAATGCTGGGATTAAAGGCAAGCTCTAACTCTTGGTCATACAAAAGTCTACTCTTATTGTATCAAATCCTCTGTCTTTAGTAGAGAATACCGTTATGATATCCTTAGTCATAAACTATATGCATTCTTTGAGGTAGAATTTTATTAATTCTAACGTAGAGTTTTATTTTATTTTTAAATGTTTGTATGTTTCATTCCTAGGCTATTCACTGCTACGAATCTTTAATAGTAAAAGCTGAAGGAAAAGTGGAATCTGATTTCTTTTGTCAATTAGGTCACTTCAATCTCTTGTTGGAAGATTATTCAAAAGGTAATTTTTTTCTTTCAAAATTTTAATTTATGTTTTAGTGGTTTTTGTTTGAGGTGATGCTGCTTACTATATGTATATGTGAAAATTTTAATCTAACTGTATGCAAATATTTAATACATTTGATGACTTAGTAAATTTTTTTTTTTTTATTTTTTACTTTTTTGAGTTTTCTGAGACAAAAGTTTTTCTTTTTAACAGTCTTGGCTGTCCTGGAAATTACTCTGTAGATCAGGCTGGCCTCGAACTCAAAGAAATCTGTGTGTCTCTGCCTCCCGAGTGCTGGGATTAAATGCACCACCACTGCCTGGCTGCTCTATCTTCATACCACAGAAAAGCATTTTATAGGCAAGACTGCTAATTTTTTGTGAAAATAATGTTTTGGTAGATATGTTTTAATTTCTAGCAAATATGGTTGGTGAAGAAGGACACTTAACTACCTGTGTCAGGATTTATAGGCTTTTGGGGAAAGGAAATGGAACTGGGTGGTAGGAAAGCTTAATGAGCATGTTTGAAATTTTGGGCTGTATGCCTAGTATCTATCTAAACTCCATATACAGTATAAGATCTTTTTTTTGTTTTGTTTTGTTTTTGTTTTTGTTTTTGTTTTTAGAGACAGGGTTTCTTTGTAGCTTTGGTTCCTGTCCTGGAACTAGCTCTTGTAGACCAGGCTGGTCTCGAACTCACAGAGATCCGCCTGCCTCTGCCTCCCGAGTGGTGGGATTAAAGGCGTGCGCCACCATTGCCCGGCTTGATTTTTTTTTTTTTAAATTATCTTTTGGGCTGGAGAAATGGATCAGAGGTTAAGAGCCTTCCAAAGATCCTGAGTTCAATTCCCAGCAACCACATGGTGGCTCACAGCCATCTGTAATGAGATCTGGTACCTTCTTGTAGGCATACATGCAGGCAGGAAAACTGTACTTATAATAAACAAATAAAATCTTTTTTTTTTTTTTTTGGTTCCCTGACCGGGAATCGAACCTGGGCCGCGGCGGAACAAATAAAATCTTATTAAATTTTTTTTTCTTATTTTACATATGAATCCCAGTTCCCACTCCTTCCCCTCTTCCCTTTCCCTCAACTCCACCCACCCCTACTCAAACCCTCAACCATTCCTTAGAGAGGGTAAGGCTTCCTGTAGTGAATCAACAAAGTCTAGCATATTGCTTTGAGGAAATACTAAGGCATTATATTTTGACTGAGCAAGGTATCCCTTAAATGAGAATGGGTTCCCAAAAGCCAGAACAAGAAGAAGGGATAAGGGCTGGAGAGATGGCTCAGTGTTGAGAGCATTGCCTGCTCTTCCAAAGGTCCTGAGTTCAATTCCCAGCAACGACATGGTGGCTCACAACCATCTGTAATGAGGTCTGGTGCCCTCTTCTGGCCTGCAGACATACACACAGACAGAACATTCTATACATAATAAATAAATAAATATTAAAAAAAGAAGGGATAAATCCTGGTTCCACTGCCAGTGGCCCCACAATCTGCTCCAGCCATTACACTTGTTACCTACATTTAAAGGACCTAGTTTGGGCCTGTATTTGTTCCTTCCCTGTCACTGTGGAGTGGGTTTGGTTCCCATTAGCTCAGGTGAGCAGTTTCCTTGGGTGTCTCAATGCTCATATCCTCACTCCTCCCTCTCTTTGACTGGACTTTGGGAGCTTTTTTTTTTTTTTTTTTTTTTTTGAGGATCTAGATTCAATTTCTGCATTTACATGGCAGCTATAACACCAAATCCAGAGAATCTGGTGCCATCGTCTGTATTCTTGAGGACTCCAAACAAATACATGCAGTTAAAACACTCTAAACACATACATAAAGTAAAAATCAAACAAAAAAAAATTTAAAAAAGTCAATTATTTATGATCCAGGAACATGGATTCATGGTTCCTTTAGTAGCAAGTTGGAGTATGCTAACAATTTCATGAAGTCTTTATTATAGAACAAAAGAACTTTAAATAAAGGTGTTTTTCAAAGCACAGTTGTGGAAATATCTGGTAGGAATCTTATTTTAAATCATAGTAAGTACTTTTGGGGGTCTTATATGCTGACAACATTATTATTATTATTTTTTGGATGTATGTGTTGTATGTGTGAATACCAGGGTTTTGGGTTGTCTGCAGAGGCCAGAAAAAGATTTCTGGAACTGCATTTACAGATTTTTGTGAGCCACCAGATATAGGTGCTGGGAACAGAATTCAAAAACCTTTAAAAGAGCAAATCAAATATTTTGTTTTGTTTTTCGAAGACAGGTTTCTCTGTAGTTTTGGTGCCTGTCCTGGAACTAGCTGTTGTAGACCAGGCTGGCCTCGAACTCAGAGATCCTCTTATGTGCTGGGATGAAAGGTGTGCACCAATACCACCCAACTGAGAAAATACAATTTTAATCATTGAGGCATCTTGCTATTCCTACCTGCCACAGCCAGGGCTGCCATGAGTATAACATGAATCTGGAATGTTAGAGAGACACGTTAGATTCTGGGTTCAGTTCAAGAACGAACAATTTTTATCCTTCCCATTGTTGTGGACATGTTGTTTAGTTCAGTATTGGAGATCATATTGTAAGCAGAGCTTGACCAAGTAAGTGTTTCTTTATTGAAATTTTTCCTTCTGTACTTTCTGCTCTTCTGTCCACTTTTTCTTTTTTCTCCTTTCAGGACATTACCCCTAGACTTTATTTCCTACCTGCTGTTTCTACAGCTATGGGGCCACATCTGGGTCTGGTGTTGTATTTGAGAAAAGAACTGCAGTTTATGTCTCCACTACTCACCAGTGATAGACATTCTTAGCTTAGTTCACTGAATCTAGTTTTCTCCTTATTTATGTGTCTAAGGTCTTTCTGGAAAGTTCATTTCATAGTATTTATATTATTGTTGGGAAATGAAAAATTTATCTTTAGTATCTTTTTGTGGAACTGGAAGCACCATTTAATGAATTATTTTTCTTTTTCAGCATTGTCATCTTACCAGAGATATTACAGTTTACAGACTGACTACTGGAAGGTCAGTGCACATTTCAGTGGCAATTTTGCTTTGTGTGTTGAGTGTATATATGTCATTGAGTGTATATTACACTTAATATATCATCTTAATGAATTACTACTATTTCTAAGGATGAAGCATGGAAAGGGGAAAAGTAATTTGTGTTTGAGATTTCTGGGTGAGGTCTCTTAATTTTTAGTGAAATATAATCATCAGATTTCTGTATAAGAGCCTGCGCTGGAGAACGGACAGTGTTGCTTGTCTTTTTTCTTTTTTTAAGCATTTATTTTATTTTTAATGATGTGTATATCTGTGTTATGAGGGTGTATGTATGAACACAGGTATTCAAGGCATCAGATCAAGGTACTTCGGTGCTAGCAATGTAATTCAGATATGATTAGAGTTCTTTTCAAGTGCAGTAAACGTTAACTATTCAGTTGTCTTTTTAGCCCTACAGTTACTTGACTTGTTGTGATAAAATACTTGATAAAAGCAGCTTAAGAGAAATTTTGACTATAAGGATATCTTCAGAGTTACTATGAATAACCAGATTTGAATAATTAAGACCACAATTTGGCCAAGATAAAGGTTTATTGATTTGTGGGTTTCTGTTTTTATTTTTTCCATGCATGATTTCACTGTTTAGCTCTGACTGTCCTGGAACTTGCTTTGTAGACCTTTCTGGCCTCTAACTCACAGAAATTTAGCTGTCTCTGCCTACTGAGTGCTGAGATTAAAGATGTGCACCATCACCACCTGGCAAGATTATTGATTATTGACATCACTCATTTCTACCTCACTTTTCTTCTTTTTAAAATAAAGATCATATTAATACCTCAGACTTTAACGTGCAGTCCTTTCTGAGAAGTTACTACAGTGGAGAGGTTAAGTGTACTTGTTGTATTATTTCTGATAAGGAAACAAAAACTTAGTTTCATCTCATCTATCTTTTTTATTTAGTCTTGTATTTTAGCCTTGGAACAGAGCTTCCTGCATTTAGTTTTCTTCCTACCTCAATTAACCCTGTGTGGATACCAATTTGGATTTTCCTTTGAGTATATAGTTTTCTTTCTCATCTTTTTTGATTAGTTTTGGCTTGTTCTATCTTATCAAATATTAAAATGGTTATATCGACTTGCCTCATAGTTTCAGTTGCTTAAAAAATCTGTTTCCATCCTTTTATCCTGAGACAATTTCTTTCTTTAATGTTGAGGTGTGTTTCTTTGGATGCATCAGAAAATGTTTTTTGAGAGGAATTGAGACTGGTACTTAAATTTTAATTATAAGCAAGCACTGTTTATAGATTCGTGTTATTTTGTTGTGGTGTGCCTCTCCCCCTTGATTTGCTTTTTCGTGTGTTATTTCCTGTTTTTCTTGGTTGTGACTGAAAAACTTTCCTTTTATTATGTTCTGTATGTCGGGATTTGTAGATAAGATCGAAGCTGTTTAAAATTAGCCTATATTATGAAATGGTTTTCTTTTTCCATTGAAAGTTTTTCTGGCCTTAGTTGTTTCTAGCATTTGGTCTCTTAGAGTAGCATTGACAGCAAGGATAAGGCATTCTGTGATCTCAGCCAGTTGGAGGGCTGTGGCTAGTGTGTCATAGTGATTGTGGCTTTGTTATTCCTCACATGGTACACCTTAAAAGCCAACTCTAAGACTTCTGCTTGTGTGGTCAAGAGGCCTTTCTCCAAGTGTCTAAGTTTAGCCTTAATGTCACGTTAGCACTGAGGAAAAAAAATGAGTCATGAGTAACTGTTTGCCTTCCATGGTTTCTGGATCTAAGTTTGTTTATTGTAACAGAGCTTTAGTGAGGCGTTCCAAAAATGCAGAAGGAGTTTTTCATATCTTGAATGACCTTTGAGAGCTTATTATAGTTAACTGGCTTGAGGGCAGCCTTATGAAGACCTGCTTGGAGGCAAGTAAAAAACTGGTCCCTAGCTAAAATCTCATCTAAGTGTTATAGTCCCAGTGAGGTTCCTCTGCTCCCGGAGGGTGTGTTACATGTGTTTGGTGAAAGTGTAGAGTTGGATGTATAGGACCCCAGTTTTGTTCAATATGGGGGAGTTCTGAGAAGGAGATAGGAACGTGTATCCCAATCAATCCATCTACACCAGCCACCTCTCGCAACGGGAGAACTGCAGCTAGCTTGGCTTGGTCAGGGTTGGGTTCCATAGCAGCACATGAGCTAGTGAGAGAATGTGTAAAGGTGGGTGCCAGAGCCAGGTGGCTGCTGCGGTTAGGCACCAGAGAGAAAGAATGGTGCAGCGGGGCTGATGTAGTAGTTAGTGGGGGAAGCACGAGAGCTGAAGAGGCCAAAGGAGCAGAAGTATCTGTTCGGAAGGTGTGGACTCCTTAGCGTGGTCTAGAGGAGTAGCTGAAGGAAATGGGGGTAGGAGCTTGAGGAATGGGGGTAGGAGCTGAAGGAACAGTTGTAGGAGTTGGGGGAGTGGGGGTGGGAGCTAACAAAAAGGGTAGGAGCTGAAGGAATGGTGGTAGGAGCTGAAGGAATGGGGGTAGCTGCCTGCTTAGGTCAAAAAGGTGGGGTTCATTAGCTGGGTCCAGGAATTTGTGTGCAGGCAAACAACTTGCAAGGAAGAGGACTTAGGCTTAGAGCTTATAAGTAAAAGGCTTGGATATAAGGGAACTCCTTTCCATTAGCCTGTGCACTGACAGTAGTTAAAAGGCTCCTATAAAATATCAGGATCGGACTGAGCTCCCAAGGTCCCAAAGAGGAGCAGAAGGAGGGACAACATGAGCAAAGAAGTCAGGACCACGAGGGGTGCACCCACCCACTGAGACAGTGGAGCTGATCTACTGGGAGCTCACCAAGGCCAGCTGGACTGTGACTGAAAAAGCATGGGATAAAACTGGACTCTCTGAACATGGCGAACAATGAGGGCTGATGAGAAGCCAAGGACAATGGCACTGGGTTTTGATCCTACTTCATGTTCTGGCTTTGTAGGAGCCTAGCCAGTATGGATGTTCACCTTCCTAGACATGGACTGAGGGGGGAGGACCTAGGACTTTCCACAGGCAGGAAACCCTGACTGCTCTTTGGGCTGGAGAGGGTGGGGGAGAGGAGTTGGAGGAAGGGGAGAAGGGTGGGAGGAGGGGGAGGGAAATGGGAGGCTGGGAGGAGGTGGAAATTTTTTTTTTCAAAAACAAAAATAGCCCAATATAAGAAAAAATAAACATTTAAAAATAAAAAAAAAATATCAGGATCAAAGGTGCCATTAGGTGGCCACTTTAAATTGTTATCTAAATTGTAACGAGTCCACTTTTTTGAACAAAGTTGGACAAGTGTGGGAATCTGTAAGTAGGGCATTAAGGGCCTCTAAAAGACATTCCAGGGGGAGGTTGGTTTGATGGTCTTGAATGGCTTGCTTACCCATAGTTGAGACTGTGAAAACCTGTGAAAATGGTGACACTACAAGTCTTATAGGGGAACATCTCCCATCTGTAGGCAGGGCATAAAATGGCGGAGAACACTGCAGGGCATGTAGGACAACATCCTATATCTACAAGCAGGGTGTTAAAGCCTGACTGACTCTGGTCGGGGTGACTTAGAAGCCAGAGAGATCATGGCTGGGACCACTGATGAGTGGTCCAAATGAAAAGAAAAAGAAAAAGGGAGAACTGATCCCAGGTTATCCAAACACAATTTTAGCTAATGGAAGCAATCCAGACATGAATGTCAGCAAAGGGCTCAATCATAGCTGCCATAAATACTGGTTGGACACTGTTTTCCCATTTCTAGGAACACCAGAAGATTTCCAGGAATGCAAGAGTCAGAGAAACGATTAAGCGGGCCAGAATAAGGAAGCTCTCCAGTTGAAGCTGGTAGTGTATGTAGAAATTGTGCTCAGGCTCAGGAAGATGGAACATGTGGTTGTTGCAGAAAAAATGCCTGGTTCCAGATCCTGACCATGGGAGAGGGGCTCAGTGCTGGAGCCTCTTGAGTTTCATGGCACTAATAAAATTACTGCCTGGCACGAGTGGGAAGGAATGCAGAGAATGCAACAAACCCACTTATGAGTTTATTAGAGGGGGTGTGTACAGGCCTGGGGAAGTCAGTGTGCAGAGAGAAAGTGAGAGGGAGGCAGAGAAAGAGGAAGGGAGATAGGAAGGAAGGAAGGGAGGGAGGGAGGGAGGGAGGGAAGGGTGGAGGAGGGGAGGGTGGGGGAGTGAAGGGTGTTCTTTCCCTGACCATTTTACCCAACAATGAGACTGGAGAAATTATAAGCCAGAACAGAAAGGGAAGTAAAAATTGCTTACCTTGATTTCCAGCCTTTTGTCCATTGTGGATTTCAGTTAGAGAGTGCTTCTAGGTACCTGCAGTTTGAGTAATGGATTGGAAGGAAAGCCTTAGATAGTTCATAGAAAGAGGAAAAGCTGGGCTAGTGGAAATGTTTGTCATAGTCATCATTTGATGGAGCATTATTGACCAACTTTTAACTAATAAGCTCCCCCCCCCCCCGCCCCCCCCAAAGATAGAGCCTGAACTGGTCACTGGTAGGCCTCTAAAGTAGTCACTAACAATTTTATTTTATAAAGACTAATTTTCTCTTTATGCCTAAATTGGTCTAGATAACTTTTTCTTTTTTTAAAGGAGAGAGTATAATAGGAAACATATCCTGTATAAGCAGTAAGAAATAGAGAGCTTAATGGGTATTATGGGCCAAAAGTATTTGCTAAGATTCAAAACATACACAAAATTTCTTGAGATAGAATTAGAGTTTTTAGCAATTAAATATCAGTCCTAGTCAGTTTATTTAGGGTATAGAGGAAGTTTCCAGAAAAATGAAGTTTTAGGGTATGTTTAAGGACTTACTTACTTAAGCCTTGTCTTAAAAGTTCAACTTTTCTGAAAATGGAAATTCAGACAACATAAAATTATAGTAATTTATTACTATGAAGCTATGTTTCCTTTTAAAAGAATAGTGAGATTTTAGCACTTGGAATTTAAACAGATTATACACTTGGACATTAAACTCTTATATTGGTTAAGTGACGTAGGTTAAAATATTTTGCTTTTAACTTAAAAACAAATTTAGATTTGCATTTCTTTTATTACTACCAAAAACACTAAATCTGTTTATAATTTACATAGTGGAAACCAGGTTGTGATGACACACACCTTTAATTCAACACTCAGGAGGCAGAAGCAGGCACATCTTTGTGAGTTCCAGGCTAGCCTTCTTAGTGAGTTTCTAGTCTGCCAAAGCTATATCAAGACTTATCCTCCTAATTCCCCCAAAGTAGAAGAATACAAAGAGATTGTCTGTAGGCTTTCCTGTCATTAGGCGTTTCTGCAAAGAGAAGTTTTAGGGCACCCTTCCATTCTTTAGGAATCCCAAAGAATGGAGTGATTGGAAAGAAACTAAATATTCTCAATATTGCTTGTCTTCTCTTTGGCTTTGGTCAGTTGTTTTGTTACATGCATTGTGACACTTGGTAGAATAGTAAGAATACCTTATATGCCTGTTTTAAATTTTTTTGTTTTGCTATATTGACAGGGTCTTTCTATGTATGTCTGGGAACGCTGTATAGAGTGGGTTAGCCTTGAATTTGTAGAGATATATCTGCCTTTGCCTCTTGAATACTGGGATTTAAAGTGAGTGCCACCAAATGCTTGGCTTTTTTTTTTCTTTTCTTTTCTTTTCTTTTTTTGGTCTGGCCTACAGAGGCCAGAAGAGGGTGGCAAGTTCCTTAGAACTAGAGTTACAGATGTGTTGACGTGTTGACATTCGTAATCTAACCAGGGTCTTGTAAGAGCAGATGGTGCTCTTACAAGCACCATCTCTCCAACAACTGAGGCATCTCTCCAACCTTAATTTCTTAATATGTGTAACAACAAATTGAAAAAAATAGTAAAAATTATTTTGCTTTACAGAATGCTGCCTTTTTATATGGTCTTGGTTTGGTTTACTTCTACTACAATGCATTTCATTGGTAAGTTCACAACAATCTTAACTTTTTCCAGTGAAGTATACTATATGTAATAAGTACAGTATATTAATGTCTGTAACTTTGAATTTTTAGTAGTACTATTTTTACCTTTCTAGAATTCCAATGAGTTTTGATTCTTTACTCCTTTGGTCTGCCTACACAAATATTGGAAAGTTTAATAGGTTTTTGTTAGGATTCAAATAACCAAAAGAAATAGTTTAAGAGGAAAATTGTTTTATTTTTAGTCACTGTGGATTTCAACATTTGAGTAATTTAGGTCTTTGATTTCTGTGCTGTGGGCTTTGATGTGGTGGGCACACTGTAGTGAAATGAGAAAATACTCAGAGGAAGCATGTCAAGATACTGTTCCAGGGAATGTGTCCTTACTAACCTAGTTCCTTCACACAGGGTCTTCCATCAAAGATTTTCATCTCTTCCCATCAGTACTCTATTTGTAACCTAAGAATCTACTTGTGTGTTATTGATTAGGTTAGATTTCTTCCCAAAAGCACATCATCTGACCAGTAAGTTTTTAACATAGGTTCAAATAATGTAATGATAAGAACCATTACAATGATTGCGATAGCAACTTGTAATTGTAAGTTGAAAAAAAAATCTACATGTTAGTATATAAATGTGGGTTTGTGTGTGATATATTGCAGAGCTTGAAGAGGCCAGAAGAGGGCATGGGATTTTCTGGGATTGTTGTTAGAGTTAAGTGTGAGCTACCTGGAAATTGAATTTGGTTTTTCTGCAAGAGCAATAGGCACCCTTAACCATTGAGCCATGTTTCCATTTTTAGCTGTAAATTTAAAACAGTATTTTTTTTTTCTTAATGCATTGGTATTTGCCTCAATGTATATCTCTGAGTATACTATATACATTTAAAGGCGTGCAAAGTCCAGAAACTGGATGGAACTGGAGGTAAAATGTTGTCTTATGTTTTCAAATAATTGAACCTTGGTACTCTGGAAGAGCTGCAAGTGCTCTTAATTACTGCATCATCTCTCCATTCTTAATTTGCAACAAATGTCAGAATTTAGAATGAACCTTTTCAAAAGTTTACCGATATTAATCATTCTTCACTGAGCATTAAGTAATAGATAAGATAATATTAAATGCAGGAACCATTTTGACTTCTCACCCCATTTGAAGTCAGAAGGAAGTTAATGGAACTTTACTATGTAGACTAGGCTGGTGTCTTTCCCACTGCTAGCTTTAAGGTGCACCACCACACTGTGCTTCTGAATGTTAGTCCTTAATTCATGAAAAATGTGATATATTTTGACTGTGGTTGCACATATCCTTAATCCCAACAGACATGCATATCTCTTTGAGTTCCAGGCCAGTGAGGGTTATATAGACTTTGTTTCATCACTTCTCTGTTAAGATGATACTTTTTGTTGAAGTGAAAATAATTTTCTTTCTAATTATGATAGACTCTAGGAAACCGAACAGGAAAATTTCAAAACTGACCTTTTCTAAATCATTCTTTTTTTCTTTATTTTTTAAATATTTATTTATTTATTATATATGCAATATTCTGTCTGTATGTATGCCTAAAGGCCAGAACAGGGCACCAGACCTCATTACAGATGGTTGTGAGCCACCATGTGGTTGCTGGGAATTGAGGAATTGAACTCAGGACCTTTGGAAGAGTAGGCAATGCTCTCAATCTCTGAGCCATCTCTCCAGCCCTAAATCATTCTTTCTTATACTAACTTGCAAGTGGATTGTCAACTAAATATGAAAGGAAAAATAAACCTTCTAGAATAACAAGTAAGTGTCACATTCTTGTATTCTTAGGAGTTATGATATAAGTTCTAAGTTCAAAGACGTATATAGTTACAGGGCAAGTTCAAGGCCACCTTTCATCACCTAAAAATTTTATTAGAATAAATTTTGTCAAATGTAGTAGTCAGGGATTACTAGAGTCACAGAACTTAGGGAATGAATTTCTTTATATGTATATGTATATACACATACGCACATGTACATAGATATACACATATATGAATTTATTGGAATGACTTTCAGTGGCTACAGTGTAATAATGGGTAGCTGAGAATGGAAAATCCAAGACTAGTAGCTGGTCAGTCTCACAATTCTGGGTGTCTCAGGTGGTCTTCTGTTTGGGCCAAAGTAGGCTTCAAGGCCAGTAAAGGAATGGATGTGCTGACAAGGGAGGGCAAGCAGGAGAAGAACTAACCCATTGTCCTTAAATGGGCTGGGGACAGAAGTTGTGGCCCTGGATAAAGATGTGCCTTCCAGCCTTTAGGTCTGGATTAAAGGTGGTGGTTGTGTTGTCTCAATATCTGTCCTCCATTTCTGGATTATAGTTCATTCCAGGTAGTCAAGTTGACAACCAAGAATAGCCATCACATGAGATAATTGCAGAATTTGAGAAGAGATTAGGTTGAACTACATTTATTGTCTTTTGTTTTGTTTTTATTATTTACTCATAGGTTTGTGTAAAAATAGCATTCACGTTTCAGTGCACATTAGGAAACTAGAGTATTTCCTGTATAATGTAGAATACATGTGTTGCATACATAATCTTTTAAAATATTTTCTATATATATCTTTTCTCTTCAGGGCAACTAGAGCATTTCAAGATGTCCTTTATGTTGACCCCAGTTTTTGCAGAGCCAAGGAAATTCATTTACGCCTTGGTTTTATGTTCAAAGTGAATACAGATTATGAGTCTAGTTTAAAGGTAAGTGGTTGAAATTTTCAGGTATATTATAATCATATTTGTTTTCTATCTCTTTCTGTTGTATCTGTTCTGTTAAATATTATTTTAAAATGTTGAAGTTAATGGCAACACTATGAAAGAAATTTAAAATATGAACGAAAAAAAAGATGGAGCTTGATTTTAAGGTATAAAATGGTTTCTCTAAATTTAGATTTTGTCTTTTGTGTAGATTTAAAGAAGTTTATGGTAGGAAAGTGGTGAAAATATTGGTTAATAGGATAATTAGCCTTGACTACACTTAAAACAAAGCAAATGTAGAAAAGAAATTATTATTGTAGATGGATTGTCTTATACTTAGTTCAAACTTCAGTAGGTTTTTCTTTCTAAAGAACTTGTGTTTTCTAGGAGACACCTCTTTATCCTGGTAGTTACTAGTAGTAGGACTTTTTTTATGCTTATATAGTTTCACTATTTAAGTGACGACTGATAATAAAATTATGAAATGATATTAGGGAAACTGATTTGCTTATTTGCTCTGTTAATTTATGAATTCTTTTTAGTAAAGTGGTTTTAAACTCATCTGTTTATGATTAAAAGGTTGTAATTTATCAATATACTTTTTGAGTTTGGCAATGCTATGAAAATGTTTTCCAAGTATTTTCGTATCTATTTAACATATAAGTCAGTGTTTACTGACACCACTTTGTATGGATATAAAAGTAAACAAAATATATGTCGATTAAGGATGTGTTTTATGGCAGTAGGAAAGGTTTTGTAGTATGGATGTATAGAGCAGGTTTTTTTTTTTTAAGAGAGTCACGTTCATATTTATAGGTAGATAAAAGGAGTGTACTAGAGAGTAGAATAAGTATTTTTTTTTAAGAGTAATTTGAATATCTGTTAGAACATAGCTGTATGCACTTTGGGAAGGCTCAAAGGGATCATGCAAAGTTTTGACTCAGTCTAATCTTCATAGTCAATGATAGGTTTCTCAGAGGTAGTATGTTAAAATAACAACACAAGCAGTAATATAGAACAAAAATATGATGAGTGAAAGAATATTTGAAGTTTATTTCATGACAGGAAAATTTGCATGATCCTGAACTATGAAAACTTTGCTAGAGATTTAGAATTTAGATTTAGAATTTGTAATTGCTTAGACTTAAGGGCTAAGGGTGTAGAATCTTTTTGGAGTAATTTTTGTGTTAAGAAACATTATTAAATTTCTTTAGGACAATGTTTAGTGAATTACTTTGTGGGTTATATGACTCTAGATTGAGATTTTTATATTGGAAATGAAGGTATGCGAGTTTAGAATAGCATTAATTGTTTTTTAAGTATTTGTATTCAGCATATTACTTGATGAAAAATATTTTGACATTTTATGTTTAGTGCTTAAACTGTGAAAGAATTATTATTTTCCCTCCTGAAATAGTCTCATCTCATGTATCTTAGATAAATAGTTCAAACTGTAGAGATGACAGTGATCACAGATATGTATCACCGTTCTCTTTTACATAGTGCTGGTTATTGAACCCAGAGTTTTTTACATACTAATCAAGAACTCTTTAAGATGAGGTATATCCATACTTCAACATGTTTTATTTTGTAAGATCTTGAATATTAACCGATAATGTTGGTTTCATTAATCTTTTATGTGGATTCACCATTTAGATTTTAGGGAGGGAAAAGGGAAAGTGTTTAAGAGATAGGCTCTGAGGTGAACATATTCAGGGGAGCAGCCATTTGTTAATAATGCTTAGTAATTAATAATTTTGGAAGAATATGGTACAGAGTTGCATAAAGACACTTTACTTTTGTAAAATAAGGTATCTGCTCCTTTCTCTGTAGCTTTGAAGCCAATCATGGAACTCAGTTGTTAGACCAGGCTGGCCTTGAACTCATGGCCTCATCAAACAACAGGTTTTGTTAATATATGACCTATGTTATATGCCTGCAGTCAGTCTACCTCAGACTTGTCGATGGACGTTTCTGTCCCTCCCAGATCTGCAGCCATTCAGTCTCAAAGAAACACACAGAGGATTGTATTAATTATAAACTGTTTGGCCTGTTAGCTCAGGCTTATTATTAATTAGCTCTTACAACTTAAATTTACCTACAATTCTAGTGTATGTTCAGCCATGTGATTTGGTACCTTTTCTCAGTGCAACATTCTCATTTCGATTCCTCTGCATCTGGCTGGTGACTGTGTCTCTTCTTTTCCTCTTCCCTGAATTCCCCTCATTTGGTTGCTCCAGCTATACTTCCTGCCTCACTACTGCCATTCAGTGTTTTATTAAACCAATGTGCATGACAAATCTTTCCAGTATTCAAGAGCATTATCCCACAGCACAGATTTCTTGGTGAGAGAGAAAAAAAAAGAGTTGATTTTTTTTGTTAGAGTTGTGAGAACAGAAAGGCTGCAAGGTCTATGAGACTGTTTAGGAGTTGGTATAGTCAATCAACTCTTTATACCAGCACAAGAGATCACAGAGTATGAGACTTTTGTAGCAGCATCAGAAAGGTCTGGATTCTAACTTCATGTTGTACACTAGTAGCAATATGGAAGAACTGTTAGCTTTGAAACCTTTTTTTTTTTCTTACAACAGTTTTGATAATTTGTTACCAGTAAATAAGTGTTCTCTCTTGGAAATTGTTAGGCTGGATGATAGACAGGGGCCAGGGTAGTGAGGATTGTTGAAGTTGAGAAACAAAAAAGCAAACTATTGTCAGCAAATTTTAAATCTTAGCAGTTCCTAAGAGGATAGAGATGAATAAGAATGCATAAATTTATAGTCTAAGAAAGCAGGCAGACCCTACATTGGTAGGAATTCATTATCACAGGGAAAGATTGATGTTTGTCTAGAGTAACATAGTAGTTTTGCTTAGAATTTTGGCCTGTTCTGCAAAGGGAAAAAAGAAAACTTAGACCCTTTGAATTAGAACTCAGACAAACAGGCAGGGTTAGTGTTGAAGATTTGCCAGCAACTTTATAGACTGACGAGTTTCTGGATGAGTACAATATCTCATTACTATTATCATTATTTCTCTTATCTTCTTAGTGGTTCTTTAGGTGAATCAGCTTTCCTGAGAAAGTTGACTGGCAAACCCAGTCAGATTAAGTCTTTTTTAAAAATTAATATGTTATTTAATGAGTGTTAAATTTACATCATTTTTTTTACTCCCTGTGTTCTTGTTGCCTCTCTTATCCCTGTCACTCCTCAAATTCATGGTCTCTTATTCTTAAATTACAGTTATTATAAATATGTGTGCATGCTGGGCAAATACCCTGTTTCTCCTGAATGCTAGAGGAGATTCTTTTCTTTTTTGATTTGTAGGAAGTAGATTTTCATTAATGGCCTTCAACAATGCCCTGATACCTCTACCCAATTCCTTTTACATGGCATTTTAAATATTTTTGTTTGTTTGCAAAACAGTTTTTTTTTTCCTGTACATTTCTGGCTCCTGGAACTACTCTGTAAACCAGGCTGGCCTCAGAGATCAACCTACTTTTGCCTCCCAAGTGCTGGGATTTAAGGTGTGTACCACCCCATTTAATTTTTTCCTCTCCTCTCAAAACAGGGTTCTAATTGACCTAGAACTTTCTTTGTAGTCCAGGCTATCCTTGAACTTACAGAGATCTTTCTGCCTCTGCCTACTGAGTGCTGTGTTTATAGGTGTGCACTACCACCTACTTTAAATCTTTTAAGAGATTTTTTTTTTTTAATGTATCTGTTTTGGTTGTGTTGTTGGTTGTCTAATATGAGTCCAGGTACCGTCAAAGGCCAGAAGAAGTTGTAAGAGGTCACTAGCTTTTTGGAATTCAGAGAGATAGTTGTGAACTACTCAACATGTGTGCTGGGAACTGAACTCAGGTCCTTTCCTGAAAGGATAAATATAATCGAAGGCCAAGTGGGTACCTTTGGCTGACCCTGCCAAGGTTATCACTAAGCGAAAATGCCCTTTGATGTAGAGTTGGTGCAAGAGGTTTGTTAGGTAAGGGGGAGAGTGGAAGAATGGAAGGCTGAGTTGAAGTGGGCACTTGAGAAAATGAGACAGACAAGAGGAAGAAAAGTAAGAGAGGAAAAAAAGAGTTAAGAGAGGAAAGAAGAGACAAAGAGGGGAAAGAGGCAAGAGATGTGAGAAACGAGGTAAAGAGATAAAGAGGGCAAACTGTGCCTGCTGGGCACTTTGAAAGGGCTGCAAATGTCACATAGCTGACAGTGGAAAGGCACCCAGTGATGACATAAATGCTTTGGTGGCAAAGGCAGGCTGCTGCTGTGGTGGATGCTAACAGGTACATAATCTTTTTTTAGATAACATGAATTTTTTCTCTAGATTTATATTTTAAATGGTATGAAGGCATAATTATGATGTTTCGTTTTCTTGTGTTACTAGAAAAAAGTGGAAGTTATAAGTCTAAAGGTGGTTATAGCGGTTGATAGACTTTGGTACTCTCTTCAGTGGTCTTTAATCCTGCTAATACATATGTAGTTATCTAACATGACTCATTTAAGAAAGATCCTTGTGAATCTGTATAGGACCTAGCTAGACCCTCTGAATGTGATGATATTTGCATGGCTGGTACAGACTGCGGAGCCACTGGCAGTGGCAGCAAGTGTCCTTGCTGCTTGTACTGGCTTTTTGGAACCCATATTCTCTGGATGGAGACCTTGCTCAGTTTGGATATAATAGGGAGGGCCTTGGTTCTTACTAGAAGCAATGTGCCTTACCCTCTCTGGGGAGTGGGTGGGGATAGGGTGTTGGAGTAGACTTGGAGAGGAAGGGATGGAATGGGAACTGGAATTGATATGTAAAATGAAAAAAAGATAGTTTGTTTTCTTTAAAAAAGAAAAAGAAAAAAAGGAAGGTCCTTGTTTCCCCAAATCTTATTTGTTTTGTTTTTAGACATGATCTCAGTATGTAGCTCTGGCTGTCCTGCAGTTTACTATGTGTGTTAGAAACACAATTGAAGCCAAGAGGTATGTCTTTAATTCCAGCACTCAGGAGGCAGAGGCAGG